AAAAAAAAAAAAAAACCAAACGAAGAGCCCTAAGCATTAGAAACATGTCGAAATAGAACGAAATTAACGAGAGAATTAAGAGCTTCAAAATCAAGAGATGGACCTTTCGGAGTTTCCAAGCTGCGAATTGAGCTTCAGTAATCGAATTAGGGTTTGGGTTTGGAACGGTACGAGATATCGCTAATTCGAGTTCTGCTCCTTGCTGATTGTCCTCTGCACCCATTTTTCCCGGTGGCCGGTATGGAGTCCGGCGGCAGGATCGCGATGAGGGGCTGTATTACCGTGGGATTATTTACTTCACCACTAAAAAAGAGGCAATTTCTGTAAGACTTTCGTAAGTTCGATTCATAAAAATAACTTATTATTTAAGAAAAATAATTACTCAATGAGATGTAAGAAAAAATATATAATATTATTTTATAATAAATATTTTTTTTTAAAAAAAATGCAATATAATTTTTTATACTTATATATGAAGACTATTTAGTGTTAAAGATAATTAGTTATAATAGTAACTAATACATGATATAATAGTTATAAAATATAATTATTATGTAATTAATGTAAAATATAACAATGTATTACCATAATTAACCTAAAAATTATCATAAATTATTTTCCTGCAATTATATAAATAAATAGATAGTTTCCTTTTCTATTTAGCTTAAGTCGATTTGTGAAGGGTTAATCTAAACTCTTAACAAGTTTATGAGATAGTTGCTGAATGACTCAGGTTCAATCATCTAAATTCATCTCGGTAAGAGCCCGATTATGAGTTAGAGGGTGTATTCGTTTGTATTTCGATTGACATTTAGAGACTTATTGAGATTTGAGATTGTTATAATATCACTTGTGAGTTGTCTCACATCGTTCATATATGGAAAATAGACACACCTTATAAATCTAATGGGTTACTCATCCTTTCACCAATTGGTTTTGGGATGGAACCCCATTGGGCTTCATTTGGGTTTTCCCCACTTTGGTACGCTTCATGTTAGTGGGCCCGCACCGTTTTCCCCCAGTTTCTTTCATGGTATCAGAGCTCGGTTCTATTGGGACCGTGCGATGACGTACCCGTTTATGAGAGTCTGCCCCCTCAGTTT